CGCACCCCTATGGTGTCGAGAAAGTGCCACGCCTGCTGTGCCTGGACGACCGTCACGGATAGCGGCCGCGCTCAGGGACCACCCCCTGCGCACCCCCATGGTGTCGAGAAAGTGCCACGCCTGCTGTGCCTGGACGACCGTCACGGATAGCGGCCGCGCTCAGGGACCACCCCCTGCGCACCCCCTATGGTGTCGAGAAAGTGCCACGCCTGCTGCCTGGACCCACGGATAGCGGCCGCGCTCAGGGACCACCCCCTGCGCATCCCCCATGGTGTCGAGAGTGCCACGCCTGCTGTGCCTGGACGACCGTCACGGATAGCGGCCGCGCTCAGGGACCACCCCCTGCGCACCCCCCCCATGGTGTCGAGAAAGTGCCACGCCTGCTGTGCCTGGACGACCGTCACGGATAGCGGCCGCGCTCAGGGACCACCCCCTGCGCACCCCCTATGGTGTCGAGAAAATGCCACGCCTGCTGTGCCTGGACGACCGTCACGGATAGCGGCCGCGCTCAGGGACCACCCCCTGCGCACCCCCTATGGTGTCGAGAAAGTGCCACGCCTGCTGTGCCTGGACGACCGTCACGGATAGCGGCCGCGCTCAGGGACCACCCCCTGCGCATCCCCCATGGTGTCGAGAAAGTGCCACGCCTGCTGTGCCTGGACGACCGTCACGGATAGCGGCCGCGCTCAGAGACCCCCCCCCCTGCGCACCCGCAGCCGAGCTCAGGGACCACCCCCTGCGCACCCCCTGTAGTGACGAGAAAGTGCCACACACGGGTGGTGTTGTGTAGTGTGGTGTGGTGTGGTGTGGTGTGGTGTGGTGTGGCGTGGTGTGGTGTGGTGCGATGTGGTGTGGTTGGTGTGGTGTGTGTACGAGCGAGAAGGAGGAGGTGAGGTGGAAACGCGGGTGTGACGCGGGTGTAGAGAAAATCAGAACCCCACTTAGAATGTGGGGAACAAGGTCTTCCGCTGGTCGGGGGCGGCCGCGCAGGAAGGCGACGCCGAGCTCGCGACCGCCGACGGCCGTGACTGGCCAGTCCTCCCGGAGGTCCGCTGCGACTGGCGAGCGCGCAAGCTGCGCTGGAGGAGCCACTGCGGTTTCCCCGACTGCCTTCGTCGAACGCGCAGACGCCGCGGCGCCCGGTTGGGCGCCGACGACGACGACGCGGCACGGGCGCGCGGGCCGCGGCGAGCCCATCTCAGGCTCACCCGCAGCAGGCGGTGAGCGGAGCTCGGGGCGCAGCGTCGTCGGCAGCGGCGCTTCTCACGGCCGGCGCGGCGTCGCCGTCCAGCATGGCCGACGCATCGCCCGCCCCCGCTGGCGAAGGAGATGGCGGAGACCCAGGCGCGGCAGGCGACGCAGGTCCGAGCGGCAGCGGCAGCGGCAGCGGAGGGCAAGCTGAAGCCCTTGTCCAGGCGCCGTAGCCGCGGCCGCCAAAGTTGCCCCCTCGGCGGGGCGCGGGCACCCACGACTCGCACGACCCATGGAGGGCTGGCACGCCAATTCTGCATCGAGCGCGGGCATTAGACGCAGAGCGCTAGGGTGGCTGGGCTCGCCGCGCAGAGTCCGACGGCGCCCGAGAAAGCGACGCAGAAGGTGGTCCTCGGAAGGTTGAAGCGCGGCCTCCAGCCTGCAGGGCCGGGGCCGATCGGGGCCCCGAGCCCTTGCGGCGCCTCCGCTGACGCCCGGGCTAGCAGGCACCTTCGTCTCCGCCGCGTTCTTCTCGGCGCGCGCGGCGCCGCGCCCGGCGCCCCCCGTCGGAGGCGCTCAATGAGCAGAATCCGGACCATGTGCGTAGGTTTGCCGACGCGTGGGATCGGGCTCCGACGCCACGGGCAAGGATTCCAGCCCATCCAAGGGCCAGGAGCGTGTGGAACGAGTCGCGCTGTTAATGGCTCGGGGCCTCGTGATGGCTTCCTCTTGTGGCCCGGCGCGCGTTGCAGCCCGTCTGCGCGCCTCGACGGCGCCCCGCGCCGGCGGCAGCGCTACGAGCGGAAGCCGAACCAGGTTTGTAGGCATCTGCTGGCGCGCGGGATCGGACTCCGATGCCCGCGGCAAAGCAGCGCGTGGCCAGCGCCGGTGGGGCCATGAGCTCCGTTGCCGGCTGGGCGCGTCGATTGACGCTCTCCAGCGTGCATGGCCAGCTTTGGCTGTCAAATTCGCGCGTCGGACGCGCGCACTGCGCGCCGCCGTCTGCCCGTTGATGGCAGGCCCGTGCCGTGGCATATCCCCTGTTCAATGTAGCCCCCTTGGCGCGTTCGCGGCAGTTCTGGCCCCCTCGTCAATGCCGCTTGGGCAATGCTAGCCTCTGGGCTCAGTGAGCTCTCGGCTCGGCGCATGCCGCGGGCTTTCTGCGCGACTCGACGGCGCCTGCGTCGGCGTTTCTGCTCCAGGCGGAGGCCGAGCCAGGCGCGCCGGCATCCGCTCACGCACGGGGTCGGACTCCGATGCCTACGACAAAGCAACAAGTCCAGTCGTGGGCAGGTGCCTTCGGAACGAGTTGCTCTGCTATTTGCGAGGCGTTTCGCTTTACTTTCTGTCAGTATGCAAGGGTCGTTCCACGCGCGGCTTCGCGCGTTGCGCGGAAGCCGAACCAGGTGCGTAGGCTCGCCGAAACACGGGATCGGGCTCCGACGGCACTGGCATAGCAACGGTTTCCTTCGCCGGGCCGGGAGCCCACGGATAGTTGCCGAGGTGTGTTGCCGCCCGCCTAGCGTGCGCAGTTTTGGCTCGGTGCCTTGGGGCATGGCCTCTCGCTCGGCGTGCCCGCCTCGCCCGTCGCTCAGCGCGCGCTGCCAGCCTCGGTCATGGGAGGCTGAGCCGTTGGCGTGGGTGGCTCGCGACCGACACTTTGAATCGGGCTCCGCGCCATCGCAGAGCAATGATGTCCAGCGCGTGGCCTCGTGCCGTGGGGACTGTTGCTCGGCTTTGGCTTTCATGCTCGCGCGTCGCAGGACGTGACTCTGAACGCCGCCGTCTGCTGGCTGTGGGCTTGTAGGCCCTTGCCGTGGCATGCGTGCTGTTCAATGGTTCAATGCAGCTGCGCTGGCGCGTTGCAGCTTGGTTGCGCACCAGCCCGCCTGTCATTGCACTGCCCTGTTTGTTTTTGTTGCGGGCTGATTCGCCGTGAATGCTCGGATGCGTTTTTTGCCGCCTCTTTCGGCCGGGGCAGCGGGCGGTTTCTAGGCATTCTGGTACATGTGCGAGGGCGCCTCAGGCACGAGACCGCGCGTTGCCGCGGCAGGGCCAAAGGGCAGTGTGAGGTGGGAGGTCCTAACCTCTTTAGACGCGTTGATCATCATCCTCACCATTATCCTGTTCATCCTCCTTCTCCTTCTCATCGTCTGCATCGTCATCATTGTGATTATGGCCATCATCATCATCAGCACCACCGCCATCACCATCAGCGGGTCGCTCCCGCCCGCGCGCGGGGCGGCCGAGCGGGGCCTGAACTCGCCCATTTCCCCCGCGCGGACGCCCATGAGGCCGAATGCCTATTTGGCGATGTTGGAGGGCCCCCACGGCCATCGAGCGCCGGCATGTTGCCAGGCGCTGGCGCGCCTTCCGGCTCGGCGCGCACTGCCGTTGGTGCAGAATGATCTGGAGGGCGCGCGCATGCGGCTGCTTGGGCGCCTGTTCCGAAGCATTGATGCGGTCCGCGTGCGGCGCTGGTGGCTGAACCTCGTGGCCGACGACGAGCGGAGGGCGAACCTGCTGGTTCCACGCGGGGAGGGGCAACGGTACTTTCTGGCTAGCGATGTCGCACCAGAGCTGGATGCAAGCCAGCGCGGCGTCATGGCAGATGGCCACGCGCCGCCTGCAATGAGCTGGTGTGGTGGAAAACGCGAGCGAGACCAAACGCGACTGCGGCGAGCCGTTCGGCCGCCGCGCAGCCCACGCTTTCGCACGCTCCCGTAGCGCCGCCCGCCTGCGAGCACACAGGAACCGTGCGCGGCTTCGAGGACGAGTTGCGCGCCGCAGGGGCGGTCGTGGACATCGAGCGCCGGATTCCCGAGCTGTATCAGATCAGGCCCGACGGGTCAATATGCCAGGTGGTCATGGGTTTCGTTGTTCGTTGGTTTCTTCGCGACCGCTCAGCGGGGGTGGGTAGATTTCAACTTCGGGACCCCGTTCTACAGTTCCTTGCCCACGGTCAGCCGGATCGCCAGCGCAGCGGCGGCGGCTAGTGGATCGCGCCAAGGCGAAACGCTACGGCGACGCTGTCCACAGCGTGGCGGTCGAGGCTGGCGGGCGCGTCAGCGAGGATGCGGCGACGGTCATCGTCGAGTTCGCTGCCGCGTCGCGGCTGCACGGCCGCCCCTTGCAGAGCGGCCGCCGGGACACGACGGCGTGCGCGTTCGGGGAGCGCATCAGCACGATAGTCATGCTGGGATGCGCCCGCGCGACGCTGGCGGCGCTGGGGCACTGATCTCCCTCGCGCGCTCCGTCGGCGAAGCAGGTCTGGAGTCCGCGATCAGGAGGCGCCCAGACCGCCATCATCACAATCAGCAACAGGATCACCATCATATATCATCACCCATTTACGTTCGTCATTTCCCCATCATCGTCCTTTATCATCCTCCTTCCTCACCGCCCTTCATCATCATCCTTCACCACTTTTCTCTGACTCGTCCCTCCTCCCCTTTTCCTCATTCCTCGCCGTTCACAGCGCTGCGGCTTCAGACGATCCGTCGTGTTGCGTCGACCGACCTCGTCCTCCTCCTGACGGGAGCCCTGGCGGCACCGCCGGGCAGCTCGAGTCCGACTGTCCTGCCCTTGTCTTGCTACCCCACCCCCTGCGTCGTCGTCCTCCTTCTCCTCCCCCTCCTCGCTCCTGCTCCTTCCCGCCGCCCTCCCTCCTCCCACCGCCCTCTTCCGCAAGGCCCCAGAGGTTTCCCGGGTCCCGGAAGCCTCACTGGCCTCCGCCTGGAGCTGCTCGGGAGGCTCCCGAAGGCTGCCTCCGAAGGCCGGCGAGGGCCCTCCGCCCGCGTGATCCACAGGTTTCTGACCTCGACAAGAGCAGCAGCCAGTCCGGCCAGGCGCCCGCCCTACGCCAGCGCCCCCCCGACTCTGAGAGGGCGCCGTCCTCGTTCGTGTCGGCCCGGGGGCGGCGCCTGCTCAGGGCCAGCGTACTTCTCCGGATGCCCCCTGCCCTGGTCCTTCCTTCCCTGAGATTCGCCTTGCTTCCCCTGGTTTCGGGCTGGATCCATCACATATCGATCCGGCTCGAAGATTATACGGGAAGATGGGGTCTAGGGCCTCTAGGGTTTAGGGAACCGGTCGCGATTTTCCGCGATGTTGCAATTTGTTCGCAACGTCGGATCTCAGGGTTCTTCTCCTTTCCTCGTCCATCTCCTCCTCATCCTCCCCATCCTCCTCCTCCTCCGCCCTTCCCCCCCTTCTCCTCTTCTCCACTCTCCTTCCTCCCGCAACAACGACCGTTACCGGGGGGAGGGGATCGGTAACGTCTCGAGTCGCGCCGGCGCCGTCTGGGAATTAGCTACCCCTAGCCGTTCCCACACGTCGCCATGGCCACTGCGAGTCGCGACGTTACTGCGGAGGGGAAAGGGGGGCGTCCCTGGTAACGGGCGTTGTCGCGCTAGTCCGTCTCATCTTCCTCCTCTCCTCTTCCACCTGGACAGGTCCTGGACAAGTTTTATATAGCTCAGCGCTCCCTCGAACCCGATTGAGTGAGTGCCGAGGGGGAGAAAGGGAGGGTGCCCAAGAAAAGCAGGGGTGGCCGAAGTCCCAGGAGAGGATCTAGGGGCAGGCCTTCCTTCCTGGTCGTGTCGTCCTCCGCTGCTGCTTCTCCTCCTCCTCCAAACCGATTCGATTCCGACTCTGGATCCGATGCACGTTCCGATCCGACCCGATGTCCTGGTTCGATGACGATTGATACTGCCAATCGCTTTTCATGGGTATTCGAAGTTGAACGTGATTCCACAAATGGTCGTCAGCTTCCCGGTGTGAGGGCCAGCTAGATTTCAACGAGTTCTTGGAGATCATGACCGCCAAGATGAGCGAGAAGGCGGCCGAGTTAAGAGCCTCATTGCAGTAAAGGCGATGATATGAGTGATACAGGCTGATATCAGCATAGTTGCACGGCCGCAATAGGGCCCTGTTAGAATCCCGTCAAACGGGAGCTTTGGTCCCTTACCTCCGGGGAAGTCGGAGGGCGTAGTTGAATATCTAGGGAGAGGACATCTCGGGAGGAGGGTCAATTCTTGACGCTTCGCGTATCCCCACCAGACGTCCACCTCGTCTTTGTGGGGTATGCCTCACGGCATGCACCGAATTTCTCGACCTTTTGTCAGACTGCTCGTGCACGAGCTTCCCTGGATGCCCCCAGGTGTCAGGCTCCCACGCAGCCCCGCCGCGGCTTGGTGAGTGGGCCGGCCGGCTTGCGGCGCGTCTTGTAGCTAATTAGCCATGTTCGCCGCCCCGGACTTTGCTTTCGCCGCCTGCGCTCTTCGCTCGCGGCCGCGACCGAAAAAACATCCCCACCAGAGTCCGTCCCCCCCTGGCTCAAGTCGCTCTGGCTCGAGGTTGGTCGGCGCGACCTGGGTCCGCCGCCTCCAGGGCCGGCCGGATGGAACCGCCCTCGGCGCGGCGGCGGCGGCAGCGGCGGGCTGCTGCCGCTGCCGCCAGCGGCCCGGGCGCCGCGGCCGCCGCTGGCGCCGCCGACGCCCCCCGCGCCGCTGCGGCTGCGGCCGCCGCCCCGCCGCTGGCGCGGCCCTGGGCGCGGCCGCTGCCGCCTGCCCGGCCGCCGCAGCCGCGGCCGCCTGCGGCGCGGCCCTGGGCGCCGCGGAGGCCGCGGCGGTCGCCGGCCTGTGGCCGGCCGTCGCCGCTGGGGCCCGGGCGGCCCTGCTGGCCGCGCGCGCGGCCGCGCCCCCCGCTGCCGCGGTCCGCCCCTCTGCGGCGGCCGCGGGCAGCTCCGCGTCGGCGGCAGCCGCCGCGCCGGGTGCCGCCTCGGCCGCTGCGGCCGCCCCCGCCGACGGCCTGCCCCACGCCCAGCCCGTTGACCAGCCCCTCGCCGGCGGACACTGCGGGGCACCGACCTTCGGGCCAACCTGCTGGGCGTGCGGCGCGTGGTCCCCAGCAGAGTGTCGCCTCCACCCGCGGCCCAACATAGCGGGAGGCTGGGTGGCCGCGCCGAGCCGCGTGGACGCGGGTTGCAACACCGACGCTGCGGCGGGCGAGGTGCAGGATATCGTCGACAACAACAGCAGCAGCAGCAGCAGCCCCCTGGTAACTGCCCCCAGGTGTCAGCAGCAGCATCCTCACAGCTCTGACAGACAGAAAGAGGCTCCCCTGCACCCTTGCAGCCCTGTGTCCTTTGACGAACAAGGTACCCTTCCTGGCATCCCCCTGGTACAAAGCGACCAGACGGCCATCAGCCGTGATCCTCACAACTCTGACAGTAAAATGGGCCCCGTTAGGGCAGAAAGAAGCCGTTATGTCTCGAGCCCCTGCCTTTTCCCTGGCAGCCAGTTAGAGCACGGATCACAACAGCGCCCGATGGCTGTGACCCGCGACCGCCCAGGGGGCGTCGGTGCCTGGCCTTCGGGGGGCCCTCCTCGTCGCCGCGGCTGAACGCAGCTCGGGAAGCGGGTGCTTTTGGAGCCCGTGAGGGGTCCGGACATCGACTGGAGGGTGCCACCGCGGGAAGGCGCAATCTCTCCCGATGGAGCGCAGGTACACAGCCTGGGTGGGCCCATGGAGATGCAGTGCGTTCAGACGGCCATCAGCCGCGACCCTGGCATCCATCTGGGGCAACAAGAGTCGATGGCCATCAGCCGCAACCCTGGCGACGAAGGGTCCGCGAGAGCCCAAGGCACTCTTACATCCCAGTGCCCGAGCCAATCTCGCAACTCTAACTGTCCGAAAGAGGTTTCCTTGCACCCTTGCAGCCCTGTGTCCGTTGGCGAACGAGGCACCCTTGCTTCCCCGTGCCCAAGCCCTCACGCCTTCGCGGGCACCCCCGGCGGCCAGCAGACCACTCGAAGAGAAACCGAGCCCGGAGCGGTTGCGACGTCGGACTCACAAGGAGAAGCTGGGTACGTTAGGCCAGAAGGCAGTCAGGAGGTCACGTCGGAACAAGCAGCTTTCAGATGCAGCAGTCCCAGGGCTCGCTTCGATTCCTCCGATTCGATTCGATTCGATTTCGATGGATTCCGATTCCGAATCGATTCGACTTGGGATTCCGATTTGGGTTCCGATTTCTCATTGGAGGCCTACTAGCCTGCCGATTTCCGACGATTCGACGTTTTCCGACTCGGCTGCCGATTTCCGCCGATCCGATTCATTTCGATCGCCGATTCGACTTGTCGATTCGATTCTGGGCGCTCCTGCAGTCCTTCGAGCGAGCCACAGGCGGAAACGGGCGCTCCTACAGCTCCTCACTCCCGTCAGCGCCCCTGGGTCGGAGTTTTGGTGGAGGCCGAAGGCGCGCCTGAAACGGCGCCCACCCCCAGCGACGGCATCGCGGCGGCAGTTCGGAAGGCCGCAGAGAGAGCGCCCGAAAACGGAGACCCACCACGCATAGAAGAGAACCAGGGTGCCGTAAATCCAGGAGCGGCCGTCAGCTGCTACAGTTTTCGCGTCGGGTGCGCGGGCGTAGGTGCGACTGACCGTGGCCCAGGGCATTCGCGACTGGAGGGCTCGCCTGACTCCAGGATGTACGCGCGGGCCGCAGACGGGCGCGTCTTCGCGGTCGGCGCAGACGCTCCGAGCCCCCCCCGTGGCCGACGGCAGATATGGAGCCCGCTACCTGGAGAGTCTGGGGATGTCGTCGCACCTGGTTGAGGGCGAGACCCAGCGACGCCTCGCTGCGACTCCGCCTGCCGCCGCCCCTGGTGCTTTCGAAGCCTCCTCGCGGGGGAGCAACGGACCTGCCTGGCAGAGACAGGACGACGAGGCCACCCGCCAGTTTGTCGACAGAAACCCCTTCGCGCCCATTCGGTTTCTTTTCCCTAGCAGCGGGCGGACGGCGAACCGCTGCCCCTCCCTCTCGAAGCCCGGGCCTCGCCGGGGAAGGCGACATCTGCCCCGACAGAAGCGGTGTCTGACAACGTGCCCGCGCCCGCTGCGACCCACGGCACTCCCGCATCGGACGATAGCCTCTCGGCGACAGGTGCGGGCGCGCCAGCGAGCGTGGACAGGCGCAGGTGTGGAGGCGAACGCCAGCGAGAGGGGCTCGCCCCCGCATGTCGCAATGCAGCGTTCCTTTCTGCCCCAGCTGCCGGAGGCGACCCGGCCCCTGCCTGGCGGCCAACCCCGCCGCCCGCTCCGGCCCGCGTGGCCTCGCCAGGTGCCCCGGCCCCAGAAGGCACCGCGCCGTGCGAAGCCACGGGCGACTCTGTCGACGGACGCCGGGATGGGTCTGACGATTCTGGGGGCCGGGCGGCAGCGCGCGCATCGTCTGCCCGCGTCGCTCGCCGTGAGCGGCCGGCTTCGCGGCGGGCGATCGCCCGGGCGGATCGCGGTGGCAATGTTGCAACCTTGGAGCGGATCGACGCGTTAAATTCTGCTTGGCGACGACCGAGGGTGGATCCTGGATGTCCGTCGTTGGCGGTCGTTTCATGGTGGGTAAAGCTGTCCTAACCGAGAACTATGAGATCAGCGACGTTTCTGTCCGCGACGCTTGGGCGTCGGCGCCGGAGCCGCTGGGGCACGGTGGCCTGCGCGTGCTCTTCCCCGACGACGACGCCAGCCAGGCGGAGCACGTGCCCCTGCATGATGGCGAGATCCCTGCGTTTGTGCTGCTGCATCGGCGGCGCGACCGCCACGGCAGAGCTGCGCTGGCGACATGCAAGAGCGCCACCGCTGCGCGGATCGCCCGGCGAGGGCAAGCTGCAGAGCGGCCGGCACGGACAGCGCGGCCAGCGAACAGAGAGGCAGTGTTTGACTAATGCGGGTTGCGCGCGGGCTGCCGCAGAGTAGCGCGCGCGAGCAGCATGCGGGGCAGGAGCCGGAGCCCGAAGACCCCGACGAGCAGGAGTTGCCCGCCGCTCGCGTGGTGGGCGTGGGTCCGCCGCCGGCACGGCTGGCGCCGCGGCTGCGGCGGGCGCCGCTGGCGCCGCGGGCGCCGCGGGCGCCACTTGCGCCTTGGGCGCCGCTCGCGTCGCGCGCGCTCGGGCGCCGCGGCCGCGGCGGCCGCCGCGGGCGCGGCCGGCGACGCATGCGTCGGGGTCGCCACGCGCGCCGTCGAAGCGCTTGTTGTCCGTGCTCTGATTCCCCCGGCCTTGGCAACGCAGTGGGAAATGCACGCGAGCACGCGGCGATCTGCCGTGTCCCTGGCAGCCCCACTCCTATGTGAGCAGACGGCAATCAGCCGCGAGACGGGCCCATGATCCGGGGCCGAGGAGCAGGCCGCCGTCAGAGGCCCCCGCGGAGCCGCCGACAAAACTGCCATCAGCCGCCCCTGGCTCTACGGCCCGGACAAAACGGCCATCAGCCGCCCCTGGCATGGACATCCCCGACAAAACGGCCATCTGCCGTACCTGGCTTCCTTGCTCGCTCCCTCCCGTGTTCTTCCCCCTCCTGCCCCCGCCCTCCCCCCCCCCCCGGCCTTTTGCCTCGTCGCCGCGGCTGGGCGCGGCCGGGCCTGTGGCAGGAGCTCCTCTGCCGCAGCGCCCTGGGCAGCGCGCGCGAGAGGGAAGGGCAAGCGCGCCGGCAGACGGCCATGGCGCTGACCTGCGAGATGCGGAGAATGAAGCTGGAGCCAACCACCATCGTCAGTCAGAGCAGTCCGAACAGCGTGTGCGAGGCGAGAAGGCTGCGGCAGTGGCTGACGGCCACGGCGCCGCTGAGCGGGATGGCGGTCGTGAAGCTGAAGCCCAACATCAGCACCTACGGCACTGCGAACAGCGCGGGCGAGCAGAGGAGGCGTTGGCAGTGGCAGCCAGCAGTGGCGCTGCTGGGCGAGATCGCGGTTAAACGTTGGAGCCCTACATCATCACCTACGGCATCGCGAACAGCACGTGCGAGAAGAGCAGGCGTCGGCATTGGCAGCAGGTCGCGGCGCTG